GGGTTTGGGTGGGTAATGTGTGGTGGGGTGCAGTGTGGTGGGGTGCAGTGGGTGGGGAGGGGTCGGGTGTGGTTGGGTGGGGTCATGCGTGATGTAATGTGATGTGTGTGTGGTGTGATGTGGACAACTCTCAGGTTTAAATTCTCAGACGCACACCTACTTAGAGACCACCCTATCAACTTTTCCCCTACCCTAAATATATACGTACCCTTCCTCGACATGTCACCTCTTCCCCATACACAATAGTCGTACTGACTGCGATGAATCCCTTCAGACCACTCACAGTACCTTCAGATTTCAAGAAGACAGTCTTTAAACCAGTTATGTGTTCCCAATCTTCTGTATCAATCCTACAAAACAAAATGAGAACATTGAATATTGAAAACTGATTTATTACTATTGATAAGAATTACCATGATTTAACAATTAGGGCATACATGTGGACAATTCATTATTTGCAGTATTCATCTGTGAGCAAAATAGAAACTAAAAACAGATTCTCACTTACTTGGTATTAGGAATGGCTTCCCAACTTAGAGGTGAAAATAACTGCAAACTGAATTTCTCTATAGTGGGGAAAATGAATCTGTCATCTGAAAAAAGAACAATCGATAATGCATTACACTTAACAATAAATTTCAATCAAAGAAAGCTTAGAAAGAACTCCAGTGTGCTGAGAGTATTAGAGACACATTAAAATTAATTCAAAATTTAAGATTAGCCTTTCAAACAAGAAGCTTGGCAACTAATATTTGTCTGCTATTTGAGATGCACAACATGAAAACAATGTTGAAGTTTATAATACATACAGAAAATATATTTGATTTTTCATCCATGGTTTTTAGTCTAATTAATTCCAGAGCACCTATGTGATGAATTCAATTTAAATGGGCTAATAATATAGATCAATATGCATATTTTTCAACAATAAAATAACAAAATGAATTATTATGAATTATAAAATGAATTATTATACAAATAAAGCATAGATTATTATAGATAGATAATTATTATGCATAGATTTAGGCCTGTGTATTGTTTCAGAGTGCATTCATTTTAATGTGATGATTAATCCTAACTAAATCAGTGGAAAGCTGAAAAGTACATTATTATGCAAATTAGGTAATATCATGCATGTAAATAAATAAACCCAAAACTAATTTGATCATCACATTGTCTTAGAGTATATATGTACCAATCGGTATCACTGTGTACCCATAGAATCAGTTTATAGAAAGTCTTGCAATGTTCAAGGAAGCATTCTGATTGGTTAAGAAGCACTAGGTGTGTTTCAAAAAGGGGAAATGTAACCTAAGTTTAATTGAAGAGGTCAAAACCATTTCCAATAGTCCTTCATTGTCAGATGCAGCTTTGGGGAACTTTGGTTAAAGTTCAATGGTTGAATATTAAATTCAATCAGTACTATGATACTCATAGTTGTAAATTGCTGAAAAATGGACAGGTTTTTGATCTCGTAACAGTGAAATACAAAGGTTTACTACATCTCTCGTAGGGGGTGTTGCATGTACAGTGATTCAAGATGTACCCTAGAGGTCCATTAGATAGTCAGAATTGTGATTTTAACTGAAAACAAAATTTTACAACTTTCACTTACTCACAAAATTTGTATCTCTCAAAATTAAAGCTGTTTTTAGTATTTTGACAATATGGAGACTTCCACTTCACAAGTTGCAGAGAAAGTAACAGTCTACTCACCTCTCTCAACATCCTCAAATTCTTTATCATCACCAGTCATTTTACAGATTCTGAGGCATGGCTCCGACACTGAGGTCACAACGGCATACGTTTTACTTTCAATGTGATACGATATAAAATGTGGAGTGCAACGAAGAGGGACTTTCCTCACAGGCCAAAGGGCATCATAGGACAGATGGGTTGGTAGAACACAGATTCGTAACTCTCCCTGTTATAAAGAACAAGTCATTGAAAATGACACAGTCCCCGTTAAGTTATCTTTGTGCTCGTCATATTAAAGCGGAGGGGTTGTCGTGAGTGTGTCCTTGAAACTTGAGTTCCAAGTGGCGTATACAACAGATTGTTTATTTACATCAAAACACGTGTTTCGTGTCATAGTAATATGGCCAAAATAAAAACAGCCGTTATTCAGCCATCTTTGATTATGAAACACACTGATATGTATGATGTATGTGCCAAATACGAATGAAAATGGTACATAAATTGTGGAAATATAGTAGTAAGGCCAAAAAGTCAGATGGTGTCAATCGGCCATCCTTGACCAGATTTTGAAACAAATTGTCATGGACATGCATCCTAACATGTATAAAGTACATGTATGTGCCAAATTTGAATGAAAACTGACAGAGCACGTCCAAGATATCGCATAAAAAAACAAAAACAAGATGCCTGCCAGTCGGCCATCTTTGATCCAATTGTGAAATACATAGTCATGGACATGTATCCTAACATGTATAATCTATGTACCAAATTTGAATGACAACTGACAAAGCATGTCCAAAATACAACATTTTCAAAAAACAAGATGGCTGCCAGTCGGCCATTTTGAATCGAATCGCTAAACCACTGCATGTGTATATGTCCCACATAAGGTACTAAGCACATGCAAAGAATGAACAGAATCGGCCCACAGGATTCTGAAATATGACGTTGGATAGACTGACGTACGGACACACGGACGGTCGGACAGACAGACTCAGGAACTCACAGACGGTCGGGGACATATATCCTAACATGTATGATCTATGTACTAAATTTGAATGAAAACTGACAAAGCATGTCCAAAATACGACATTTTCAAAAAACAAGATGGCTGCCAGTCGGCCATCTTTGATCCAATTGTGAAATAAATCATCATGGACATGTATCCTAAGATGTATAATCTATGTACCAAGTTTGAATGAAAACTGACAAAGCATGTCCAAAATACAACATTTTCAAAAAACAAGATGGCTGCCAGTCGGCCACTTTGAATCGAATCGCTAAACCACTGCATGTGCATATGTCCCACATAAAGTACTAGGCACATGCAAAGAATGAACGGAATCGGTCCAAGGGAGATATGACTCTGGACGGACGCATGGACGCACAGACACACGGACGGACGGAGAACGAATTATAAGTTATAATTAAGAATGATATTGCCATGTGTTGCCACAGAATGAATGTAAGTTACTGACAACTTTTTGGCTCCATGGATTTTTTGATTTAAGAAAGTTCACGTAAAATTATGGACTTCTGAATATATCCCTGTGCATATTTGCAATGTATTATGGGAGAGAAATTCCCACTGTATATAATGCAAAACTATTATCGCACTGGAAACATATTAAAATTAAATGTCCTTTTTTCAAATGTTTTAACAATATTAGAATTCATACCAATAATAATAGATAAATGGTTCATTCAGTAACCATAGAAACCAGTGCACAATTATTGTTTCTTGATAAATTGTCAGGTGACTCCAATTTCTTTTTTTTCTGTTTTAGTATTCTAATGGCCTTAGCTTGCAATAATGAAAAAGTGAAGATGAAGAAATAGAATCTTCGACCAAACATTATCATTGTCATTGTCAGTGATGTGAAGTCTATTAGTGTCAGTTGTTATGCTGGATTATTGGAATATACATTTTTCCATTACAGATGATATAGAGTAAGTGACAAAAGGTAAATGTAGTCAGGATACTTACATGCTTGTTGAAATACAAGAAACCCTTTGGACAGTTGATATTATGAAATGGTGCAAAACATGTGACAGATCCATCTATGTGCATTGGATGAGATCTGAGAGCACCACGTGATGTCATAAACAACCAATGAGGATAGGGCCCACATACAAATACCTACATTGAAAAGAATAGAGTATATCAGTTAACAGTAATACAGTGACAACCAAATTGAATGATATATTAAAGATGCAATATATAATGTTGTATATATGTTGAGGACAAAATTTGATGATTTATTGTAAACTTAAAGATGTTGCATTACAGTACACAGTATAGAATTAATTCATTGAAAAATGAAAAACACTGCTATGCAAGTGGAATGATTGTCATGTATGAACCAAAAAAAGCAGTGCACATGTGTATTAGAGCATTTCAATGTCCAATTAAACAAATAACTGTGTGCTGTGTTTGTGACAAATCATAATTCAATGTACTCATCAACATACAACGTCCAATAGGAGTAAAAAAAGAGTGCATGATTTGAATCCTGAAAATCACAAACTTTGGTGACAGAAAACTATGGCAAACCAATGTTGCAGTATTAGTAAGTACACATTTGTAAATGAATATTCCTGATTTGTGTTAAATAAATTATTTCATATGCATCATTTCTCATTTTATTTACAACATTTTTATTTCATGTTTGAAATTTTAATTTTGTGAGAAGGTTTTCATTTTATTAGTGAAGTCACATTTTACATGCAATAATTTGTGCTAACCTTTACAGGGGTACTTGGTTCATCAACATTGATTAGTCGGTGTTATTACTTAGTGCCCCAGGATTTGAAGGTGTCAAATTATGCATTTACCCCTTGCATAGATCTGCAGCCCCTTGGCAATAACATTGTGCAACATAGGCCAACAAGAGCTGCTAAAATTGCAGCAAGTGAACAGTAATGAGTTTGTCAGTGTCTATACTGAGGCCTTAATGTTCAATTCAGGACACCAAGTATTACTTTCATAAGTGTGGGATCTTAGTTGACACAGTAATTTATCTCACAAGTCAGAATTATTGAATACAATATAGTTTTCATTAATATTGCAATGTTTTGTTTGCCATACAAAGCAACTTTGTTGTATTGTAAAAACGCATTGCTGTACATTGTATGGAATGTAAAGTACATGTACTGTATGGAGTGAAATTTGTGTGGCTGTTGTGTATATTACATGTAACAAGACTTGGTCCAGGCATATATGATCAAAGAAAGCTTAGAAAGAACTCCCGTGTGCTGAGAGTATTGGAGACACATTAAAAATTAATTCAAAATTACTTGAACTTGAGATGTTGATGGAACGCA